ACACAAACTAAGATATTTTAGATGAAATCCAAGCGCTCTCTCATCCTAGATACCAACAGTCACAAGACATTCAAAGTTCAAGAAAGGAACGGAAAACATTGTCAACTGTGATTCAACTGTGATCATTTGATGCTCCATGAACAGTTTTGTGCAACAAAAAATTGTGAAAACTATTTTATTTTCCTGTGTCTCCCATATTAGATCAGTACGCACAATTACAAAGGACAAAAACGCTGCTTGCATGTTGCGCTGCAGACTCTAATGGCAAAAAGTTGCACTGCCTGTAGTAAATGAACAATACTTTAAGTACTGTGTGCTGTAGACTATTGACAATATAGGCAAAATCAGTCAAACAAGTGCAACTGAGAATGTTGCAAAGCTTCAATGCTACAAAAATGGCAAAACTCCTTGTAATGCTGTGTTCACACCAGACGTGGAACGGGCGGATAAATCGCGCTATTCGCGCGTAAATAGCCGCGTGAACATTTGAGTTTACTCGCTTCATTCGCGCGTCAAACCCTGCTTCATTCGCATGTCAAATTCACTTCAGAACAGATGCGGATTCGCATGATGGGCAGGGCTTCTGTCTGCCCGAAGACTCTAGCTTCATAGCTAAATGTCTAACATGGATTTTATGAAGACAATAACAGTGTTTATGTGCTTTATGAAGACTGAAAAACAGCGTTAATACGTTTAGGGTCGTGTCTGAGTCCACTACATCCTTTCAGAGATGCATCCAGCTCTGTGAGCTCATAAACTCTTCCAGACACTTAACCCTGATGACAGAGACTTTCAGCGGTGCTTCTGACTGAGCCAAGCCGAGTTTGATGAACTGTTGTCGGTGAAGGCTGGAGGACTTCCCTCGGAACACCGACAACAGGTTCTACGTCACAATCAGGCCCCCACAAGGGCAAGCTTCTGATTGGTTAACGCGGCGCGAATGTACGGTGAAGTTCAGATTTTCGAACTTGAGAGATTCTCGCGAAACGCTCGTTAAGCGTGTCAAACGCGCAAAACGTTCAATTCGCCCCGCGCCATTCGCGCAATTTAAGTCATTCGTACCGCGCCATTCACGCGTATCGCGCCGCAGGATGTCTATTCGCACGTTTGCATTGACTTAACATGTAAATCACTCGCGCTTGACGTGCGTTCTGCGTCTGGTGTGAACGCAGCATGAGACATTGTCTTAACCTTTACAACACCAGTAGTACTGAAAAATTACAGCTTCAGCACGGGTTTGTCGTCAATATTGCATTAAGTGTTAACCATTTTCCATCCTATGATTTCAGATTCACCTTTAGAAAACAACACAAAAGTGTGGAGGTAAAAAGGAAAGAACACGAGGAGAAAGACAGGTGAAAAAACCAGAAGCTGTAATCACAGGATGCAGGTTCTTCTGGAGCCAAACAGACAATCTCAGACACTCAAATAACTTTTTCTTCCCTTCACTCGTGTCATTGTTCACTGCTCTCAACTCCTAGCGATTACGCTTCTGCATTCGTTCAGTTGCCACAGGCAGTAGAAACAGCGATGTGGTCTCTGAATCACAGCTAATGACTGCCGGGAAGCAGAGAAACTAGATAAAGTGGGATGGCTCTAATTTTCCGGTGGAACATATGTGCAGTATGAGGTGTATGATAAAAGACTAGCCTGCTTTCCTGTCCGTTTAGAAGCTCCAGACAGATTGAGCTGGCCCAGAAAAGCTCCTCACACATGCCGATTTGACAACATCCTGCCGACTACGCCAATGTCGGACAGAATTCTGGGCAACGGGTGGGTCATTTGTACTTGGACAGGAAGATGTAAGAGGACACGACCCTACCTTCTGCTTGATATCTGCTTCCAGGCATAACCATGGCAACTGGTAGTTATTTGCCAAAGACAGTGGCGGTTTCGGGAGTACAAGGGCCTGCTGGAAATCGGGCACAGCAGTGTTGCTAATCAACACCACTGAAGCAAGAGGTTTCAAGCTTAATTGCTAAGCCTTTAGTCAATGAAGTACTTCATGTACTTCATTTTAAAGGGTACACTGTGTGCCATAATATTATTCATCAATCGAGTTTCATCAACGTGAAAACATATAATTATACACTCAATAACAATATAAACTCAACACAAATGTGTCTAAATATAATTTAAAACATACAATAAGAAATGAGAAACAGGCCTTTTGTGTAAAAAGTAAAAAAAAAAAAGTTTTAGATCTTAGACTAAAGCTGCGTCTCAAATGGCACACTATGCACTTACACACTCAACAGTATAATATATGTATGTAGTGTCGTACCATAGATATATACTTTAGATGTCGCCAGGCCTATTGTTGTCTAATGGACGGAATGCGTCAATAGCGCCGCCATCTTGGTACAGGGTAGCGCTCCTTTGAAATGAATGCGGGACCAAGGTACAGTGGAGGACTGTGGCCATCCAAAGCCAGAGATATACACATATATCTATGATCGGGAGTTTTCCTGGATGTTAGTATGTAATTATTTTTTTTTTATTACGAAATTTATAATTTTACATCACTTTTCTACATTGATGGATCAGTGACCGCACAGGCATTCCTGACAAAAAGCTTGTGTTTGAATATACAGAAATGTACTATTCACCTTTCCTGTTAAATTAGATCTAATCATGTCCTGAAACACACCTCCTCTCCTGCTTTGACTTCTCATACTGACGGAGGGAGCGATTCGTTTGTGCATGAATCCCCGAATGACTCTTTCCTTTAGCCTACAATAATGCAAGTTTCTGGCAGCGCAGCATCTCGTTGTTATATTTCTTTTGCATTGTTTACTGATTTTATTCAACAAAACTAGTATAAGCCGAGAGTTTAGTGCGAGTTGAAGCTGCTTTGCCTCATGGTGAACGCAGTAAGTGACTGTTATGATCAATAACCTTACCTGATTAGCACAAAAGTTCAGAACATACGAAAACAGAAAAAAACGTAATATTACCTATGAAATGTTCTGCCTTTGTGCTTTGTTTTCTTTGTTTGCTCGTTACTACACTCATAGACAGCGCTAAAGTCCAGCATCTTCACATAATAACACTGTCTTGACTAGTGCGGTTGAATGACATTTGTCCTGGGAGCACTGTACCAATGTGGTGGCGCTATTGACGCATGCTCAGGGTCCCTATGCGATATCTAGTGTATATATATATATATATGGTGTCGTACCAAATGGAGCACTAATATTTTGTACCAAGCGGAAATTCAGTGAAATAAATGACCAAACTATCAAATAATACCTGCAATGAGTATAACCACATTCTCCATCGGGAGGCGCTATAATCTCTCTCGTAGGAGAATTTTGCTTTCACCATCCAAAATAAATAGAGTATTAAACATGAGCGCCCGATAGCCCCACCCCTTCCTCTACGTGAGCAAATCTGCGGTCATTGAGTGCGTGAAGTGTCCATCATAACACTTCATTTTAGCGTCTGAATGAGTGCATCATCCGGGTAATTAAAGTGCACTTATTATCGTTTAACGCACTACTTACACTACTTATACTACAAAATGGAGTAGAATAGTACGGAAATATGCGCAGCTTAAGACTCTTGTTGTGAAAAAGAATTATTTTTTATTATTTTTGTTGCTTTTTCTTTTCGTTAAACAATCGTATTTGTAATGCTTAAGGGGATATTTATTAAGCAAACTTCTTCTCGAGTGGAATGTGTTTTGCAACATGTTCTAATGTTGAATGTTCTAATGAAGCATTTTTGCAGAAGTAGATGAAGCTACTAGAAATGCAAAGGCCTAATAGTCTACAATTAAATTGAGCTCAGCAGCTAAACATCCTGTGAGTGCAGAATTTGCAGTTGAGAAGTCTTGTGCTTTTTGACGTTGTGCAGAGATTAAGGGTGCTTTCACACCTGTGAATTGATTTATTTGTTCCGAAACAGGGATTAAAATTGTTACAATGTTGCTCTTTGTTCTTGGTGCGGTTCACTTTCACACGGCAAAGTTTCTAAATGCACCACAAGAGCTAAAACAAGTCATGTGTCAGTAAACTCTCCTTACATTGGTCAGAGTTTCATGTTTTTTTTAGCAGAGTCCCACTCAGCTGTCAAGCGTCCTTATTTTAATTTATGGCAATGAGCAATAAGACATAAGCAGAAAGCTGCGCTTTAATTTTGAATGATGACACCCACAGACGTCAATACCAGATATAAATGAGAGCATGCATAGACCTTGGCTAGAATGCAGTACCGTTAATGTTCCTAAAGGATAAACAGCTCTCATTAATAGTTCAGCAAGCTTTCACTTTCATTTTTAACATGAAACACATTTACCGGTAGGAATGACCTCCCGCCCTACTCGTAATTCTCTCTTCTTATAACCTTATATGCATGCCTATTACATATCCATAATAAACTGTGATATGGCCAGGCTCGAATTGTTTTGCTTTCTCACAACAATCGATCCGCTCAAGAGTTCGTTTCAATCAAGCCGAGACCCCCTCATTCAGGCGATCTCCGACTAATTGATTTGGCGTGGATCCGAGCTGGTTGCTGGTTTCACATACGCCAAACGAACCGCGCTAACTGGGCAAACGAGACCGGTTCTGAAACAAAAGTCTAGGTGTGAAAGCATCCTTAGTAGAAAAAGAAGACGTATGTATGGGTGCGGCCAATGGAAGACTGAAGAATGATTGACAAGTGACGAATTTCACTAAACTCCACCTGTTAATATCAGCTGCCTATATAAGCTGAAGTCAGGAAATGAAAACTGTTGCGCACCCCTGAATGTAACTCTTGCTTTGCGGATAACAGAATTCTGTGAATCAAATTATTATTCATTTGTATACAAAAAACTGCTAATATGTTAAACATTAAAGAAAAATCTCTCCTGGCCTTTTTATGGAACACGCATGGAATTGATTAAATATTCCAACACTCATGAAAAATGGGAACAAAAACAAAAATGTTGTGTTTATGTTGTTGTTGAGTGTACTTACTTATCTTTAATTAGTAAGACAGTGGACGTGTAATACCTGAGCACATTCTCCGTTACGCAGACTTCGCTGGTGGACGTTTGGGATGTTTCCTCTACAACAGCTGCCAATGGTGGGATGTGATCGGTTGCTGGAGGCTTCTGTTTACTCGTGTGGGGCCGAACTTCCTCCTCTTCCTCCTCTATCCTCCCCGCTTTCCCCTTCCCCTCGCTTTCATTGTCACTCTCTTCCCCAAGGATGTCATCCACCTGGCCAAAAAAAGTTCAAAGTATTATTTAGGATATGTGTATATACCTAGGCAAGGTCTGCCCTTTGACCAGTTAAACTTGTGCACATTTAATAAAAATGGCTATGTCGATGAATTGCAGAGCTTGTGCAAACATATACACTGCTCGACATAATTGAGCCCCACAATAAACCCCATTTTGATTTTTTTTTTTATCCATTTCTCACTGAATATAGACCATGTATTTGATGCATTTAAACAAAACTGATTTATTAAAAAGATATATTTATTAAAATAATATTTTAGTTAAAACATATTTAGAAATTGAAAGACAATACAATTAAATTCAAGCTAAATATTGAAAAAACTAAATTTTTTAAAATTTTTTTTGCTTTTCTTGATTTTCCTTTTTTTATATTACTATTTAACACTTTTCTGTAACATACAAATTTGCATGTACTAATTTTTGGACCGTTATTGTAAGTTATTTTGTAAGATAAGCTCCAGATTTGGCTTCAGTACTGCCTAATCTAATGTATATGCACAAATATAATATTGTATAGCTTCCTATTAATAATATGAATTTAAAAGTTTGATTTCTGAGGGATGAACTTATCTATATACTAAATGCAGAGTAGACACCATCTGGATGTTTTTCTTTAACACTATATCAATGTAAAAGGTTTTCCACCTTTTGAACATCCAAGCAAAAAATGGGAAAGAACTTTACAGTCTCTTGCATGTCAAGTGCAAGAAATTTGCTGGATGCAGCTCAATTACGTTCTCTGGTTACACTTAGAAGTTTGTCCATACTTGTCATAATACAAAAGTGTGGACGCAGAATTTCTAACCTGATAGGAAACTTGAAAAATGCAAAACTGTTATTCCAGATTAAGGAAGAAATTATTAAGTTTTTGTTATTTTAAAATTATACCCTAGAGAATTACAATCCACCGCTAATCTGACTATATTGAATTCTATGTAATTAGACTTTTTAAAAGAGTAGTAACACCACAAATTGTTGCATTTAAAAACATTTTAGAAAAAAAAAACATATATACAGTTGAAGTCAGAATTATTAGCCCTCCTGAATTATTAGCCCCCTGTTTATTTTTCCCCCAATTTCTGTTTAACTCAGATTTTTTCAACACATTTCTAAACATAATAGTTTTAATAAATATTTTCTAATAACTGATTTATTTTATCTTAAAATAAGAATTGACTAGATATTTTTCAAGACACTTCTATACAGCTTAAAGTGACATTTAAAGGCTTAACTAGGTTAATTAGGTTAACTAGGCAGGTAAGGGTAACTAGACAAGTTATTGTATAATGATGGTTTGTTCTGTAGACTATCGAAAAGATAAATAGCTTAAAGGGGATAATTATAATGCCCTTAAAATTGTTTTAAAAAAATTAAAAACTGCTTTTATTCTAGCCGAAATAAAACAAATAAGACTTTCTCCAGAAGAAAAAATATTATCAGACATACTGTGAAAATTTTCTTGCTCTGGTAAACATAATTTGTAAAAAAAAAATGTAAAAAAAAAAAAATTTCAAAGGGGGTTTAATAATTCTGATTTCTTCTGTATATGTATGTCTGAGATCTATACCAATAAAATGTGGAACTCATCATCATTAATGTATAATTTAAACTGAAAAAGTTTCTGCAACATCTTGTGAGATATAAACAAAAAGCAGACAATTTAATTCCAGAATATTGCGCATGATGGCATACACTTGAATACTTCTCTGAAGCATGTAGTGTACATACTTCCAGCATACACTTCCAGTGCGTTTATGCACTCAAGAGTGGCCAAAATCACATCAAGTGTGGAAACTCGGACAGGTCTATAGCAAGGGACTCTGAATTCTTTATCTCTCTGAAAAGTCAACATAGCCTCAAACTTTTATCCTTAGTAGTAAATGTTTAATGAAAATCATATTAGCAACTTGCCTTGAAATTTTTTTGAACTTGGGATTTGAGCTATGAAGGTTACAATCTGTGTATAAACCACGATGAACTCTTCTAACAAAATCAATTTGTCTCGATATGACCATTTTAACATGGATGAATGTCAGCACTCAAGTGTTTAGCCTCAGTCTCGAGCTTTCACTGATACATGTTGGTGCTTTCATAAAGGCAAACTGGGGGCTCAGATCACCCCAATTATTCTTAGCGTGAGCCGTTAGACAGGCGCTGGCAAAAATGATCAGCAACTTCACATACGACGGTTCTCTCTACTAGCCCAATGTAATTGCTCTCTCCTCCTCTTGGGAATAGCCATCACACACACCATTTTCCCCCTTCTGCTTATTATTACAGTGAATGGAGCCACTGAAACGGCCTGCAGAAATATGCCATCCCCATATACACAGGTTATAAATGAGCTCAAGCAAGGGTGCTTGAAAAATAGACACGCTGAACTTTTTTTTCCAGTTTAATCTGACAGATAAGCGTAATGAGGGGGAAACATTTAATTAAAAGTAGACTTGTGTGTGAGGGGTGTTATCTAAAAGGATCTTAGTAGATGGAACAATCCCCAGGCACCCATGGGATGCAATTATGAACGGCAATATACAAAATCTAAGAAGAGAATTAAAGTCATACTTTATAGTAAGTTTTAAAACTGAAGGAGCCTTTACCAGCGGGCGAACGGTCAACACAGGATTATTGCTGCACTCACAAATTCTTCATATTAAAAAAATATAAAAACTGATAACAATCAATAATAGGTATTTCTTTCTTTTTTTGGTTTTATTTGCTTTTTATCATGGTTATTGTTATTAATATTGTTATAAACTGAAGAAAAGACAGCATGGCTGAGTTTGTGGCTACATCCAAACATCATGTAGTAAAAATCTTATATAGTGAAAACCTTTCAAATAAACAAACAAATCATTTGCGGTCTTCAAACACCAAAAATAAAAACAGTAACCAGGAGCTAGGGCTGCACGATATATAGTTTCAGCATGGATATCACAATGTGTGCATTCGCAACAGTCACATCGCAGGATGTGCAATACAGAGTCTGATTTATAGTTAAACAGAAGCCACAGAAAACGTGAATTTTAGAGTGCACTGCAAAGTTTTACTATAATAGAGTGAAAATATCATTTTCAAGACTGTGACTGAGCCTTTTGTGAGTTTACAACTTTTGGACACAAGGAATGACAACGTTTGGAGGTGTAACAAAGATGAATTGTATTTATTTATTTTAACGATGAGGACTATACAGTGTTATTTTACATTTGTAATGCAATAAACGCTTTTCTTAAAATTTTTATCTTATTTCTAGTCTGAATATCTAAAGTTAGAATTTAAAACCATATTTTTACATAATAATTTATTATATTGTTATATATTATTATATTTTATGTTGAAAAGCATTTTTGCTATTTTATTTTTCTATATTGGATTCCCCAAAAACATTTAATAGAGCAATTTAAACAATCTGGGGAAATTATGTTCATAATCGCAATATGTATCACAGAAAAATAAAATATCGCAATATCTGTTTGTTTTTTTTAAATAATGCAGCCCTACCAGGAACTAAATGGACTATACAAAAGATCGGCAACTCTAATGTGACCTAGTGCTGACATAATGGCTCTTTTCACAAAGTCGTACGATATGGTATGCTTTTATGAACCGTATCTTACCACTTTTTGGGTACCCTTTCTTTACCTAGCACAACAAAAGGGTACCAAAAAGCGGAGCTTATATAATAAAGAGCCATGGCCAACCCGATCTCGAACAAACTTTGACAATGTCTTGATGAACAGCCACAAAACCAAGAAAAAGATCAGAATCTACCCTGTGCCCCATCATTGTTTTCAAGGCCGTCTAAAGTGTGAGTGGTTTCACTTTCTCGAGAGAGCTCATGTCTTCTTGAGCTGATGATAATAACATGCACATGGTTATTACGCTGTGTTCACACCAGACGTAGAAGCGTCAAGTGCGAGTGATTTACATGTTAAGTCAATGCAAACGCACAAATAGAAACCCTGCAGCGCAATACGTACGAATAACGTGAATTGCTCGAATGGCACGGTGCGAATGGTGTGGTATGCGTGAATGATGCGTCGCGAATTGAGCTTTTTGCGCATCAAACTGGGCCCAGAACCTGAAACAGTTCATCAAACTCGGCTTGGCTCAGTCAGAAGCACCGCTAAAAGCCTCCATCATCCAGTTTAAGTTTCTGGAGGAGTTTATGAGCTCACAGAGCTGGATGCACCTTTGAAAGGATCTAGTAAACTCAAACACGGCCCTAAATGTATTGACGCTGTTTTTCAGCCTTCATAAAGCACATGAACACTGTTATTTTCTTAATAAAATCCATGTTAGCTATTCAGCAACAAAGCTAGAGTCACCGGGCAGACAGAATTCCTGCCCATCGTGCGAATCTGCGTCTGTTCTGAAGTGAATTTGACGTGTGAATGAAGCCGATTTGACACGCAAATGAAGCTGGGTTTGACGAGCGAATAAACTCAAATGAAACTCAAATATTCACACGCCTATTTACGCGCGAATAGCGCAATTTATCCGATGTGAACACAGCAATAAAGTGCTTCTGACATCTGATCCTTTCAGAAACGGACAAACAAAAAGAAAAAAAAACAAAGGCCAAACCGGAAAAAACAAAGGAGCAAATGATTCTTTCAGCAACCTAAAACATGAACAATCTGCCATGTTTAATTATTATCACCACCTTTTGGACTATTATTAACTCAGAATGATGGAATTACTTTTTAACAGAGGTTACATGTGCAGGTGAAGAATAAAGATACAGATGAGAGACTGTGGGCTATGTTGTGTGCTATTTTTGAACCCAAATAAGTCCTAAATGTATGTCGTGTGTAGTTTTTCTGTAATTAGCAACATATCAGAGGTTGTAAGGGTCTGTATTTGCTCAAATATGTTGCACTTATTTATTTATTTCATATATTTGCAGAAATTATGAAAGTATTTCACCCTATCATTGATCTGCAGTTATAATCAAACCATATTCATATAAAGGT